GTTTGGGGGGGAGGGGGAGGGGGGGAAGGGGGAAGGGGATGGGGTTGGCTGACATGGAAATGCGTGAGTGTTTGCCATGATGCCATCTTTGCGATCTGTGTGTGTCCCTCACATGTTGAGTCTCTCTCCCTGTTCTCGCATTGAGTCTTTCTCTTGGTGAGATCCTTCGTTCTCTCACTGATGGTTGAGTCAGGCGACTACCATCTTCACCCGAATAGAACGCCCGGTCATTATAGATGTATTTGGCACAGCATTCAGTCCAGATGCAGCGATAATGACCGGGCATTCTATTCGGGTGAAGACAGTTGTCCCTGAAGTTTCCGTAGCATGCTGGCAGCCATGAGGCGTGCACAGTACCCGGTACCTCATGTCACTGCTTGTATATTATGTAGATATTATTACGTATACATATTACATAATGCATGTCCATAACTGCTACTGCTGTTGTTTGTGTCCAATTTCTTGGTGGATGGTTTTATTTGGGTGGAGACATGTTTCACGACATGACGAGACAGAATGGTGGCAATGGTGGAGGTATTTTTTCTTCTTCCCCTCGCTTCATTTTCTTTGTTTGTTTGTTTTTTTCCTTTGGGGGGGGAAGAGAGCGGGAGGGGAAGGTTGCTGMATGATGTTGGATCTTCTTCCTCTGTTTCATCTACTACCGAACAACCATCAGAATCGTATCATGAGTTATGCTATGGGCCTGCAAGGATGGAAATGATGATTGAATAACAAGATCGCATTGTACAAAAAAGGAACTGAAAGATTATTAAAAATAAATAAAAAAGGAGCCAAAGGATATTGCATCGTACAAAGAAAGAACTGAGAGATAGTTCAGACCATCTCTTGCTCACGACTAGAGTTGGGTCCTTAGTTTGAGGCCCATCTTCTAGCCAAATTTGACTGAATAGTCAGAGATTCGGCGGGACGTTTTGGATCCTTCTTGCACCCTGCGCCATTCCTTCGGGTGGTGTTCAAGTTCTTTGATGTCCTTGAGTGGTTTGTGGATCTTACAAGAATCGGATTCGATCACTCTCACTTTCTCATAATGAAGACCTCTTTAACGTTTAAAGTTTAAACTTTAAACTTTAAACTTTAAACCTTGTTTGTAGATCAGTCTTGAGTATTACCCATTCCTGTTTTTTTCCAGATATAACAGGTGTGATGAACTGGATTGGTAATTTCTCACCCCTGACTTTTTGATAAAACGGAAAATTCAGACGGGTGTCTGGTCGCAAATGGGAAGTCCCCAGACCCCAACTTTCCATGTAAAGTCTTCCGTAAGTAGTGGGATCCATGACGGAGGGGCACTCTCTATGAGTGAGTTTAGTTTAGTGGCAAGCGAACGGCACCCCTTCAGCGGTATGCACAGAATTTGCAGGGATTTCCATGTTTTCTTCCTATCGTTCCACAAGTGTCCAATCTTCCAAACTCCTCTCTGTACCCACAAGAGTCAGTTGCTGGCTGTCTTTTGCATATAGCGACCAGGGGGTGCCTTCCTCATTTGTAACCCACTGGTCGCAGAGAAAGGGTTGTTCCACTTCCTCGTTCTCTCTCTCTCTCTCTCTCTCTCTCTCTCTCTCTCTCTCTCTCTCTCTTCAAAGAGCAAAAAGTGCTCTCTCTCTCTCTTCCTCTTGCCCCCCCCCTCAGATCTTGAACCTCTTTCCTTGCAGTTTGCTCCCTCCATCCGCCTCTCCTTTGCAGATTTTATTCCATATTAGTTGTTTTTTTTTTCAAATGCTCTAGGATTTTTGCTAACATACCCTTCCTTCCCAGTGGTGGGATGTCATACTCTTTTGTTGGTTCTTTGGTGTCAAATAATTCCCCCATATCATGCCACCCACTACTCGTCCTGACCCTAACCGTTATGTAATTCGATTACGATCGGCTCTTCACGCCCAGTCATGTGTGTTTCCAGCTCCATAAAACACGTTGTTGTTGTTGTTTCCCCACAACCTCTTGGTTCTGGCTCCTACCATTCTGGGGAGCAACAATCCAGTTCCTATTCCCCCGACAAGTCAATGGAAAGTACAAAGTTGACTCACCCCACGCTCCTCCCCATTATGGTTGGAAGGCCCGAGTGGACGGCATTGATTACTTTCAAAAGGAAGGATGTACCACCCCTCACCCCTGCCTAAGTTAGCCTGTTGTACCTAATCCTCTGTATGGCTTCGTGTGAGTGTCCACTTTTTCTCCATTTTCCTTCTTCGTTTGTTATTCTCATGTTCACCTTTCAATCAACCATAACATTCCTCGTGTGAATGTTTTAAATTTCAAGTGCAATCGTTGCAAGTACAAGTGGTTATCGCATACCCGAAAATTCGAAGATAAAAATTGTGAAGTAGGGAAAAGGGTGTTGTGTTTATCTATCCTGAAAATTATAACATCATGGAATAAAAAAGGTACTTCGATCATGAACTCCAGAGGAGAAAAGGGTGAAACCACGTTGTAAAGTAAGATGCTTCGGTCTTGAAGAACACATGTTTTAAAAATTTCACTATTTTTCAATTGTTTCAAGACTTCCTGATTTTCAGTTACTTGAAAGTTTCCCCGATTTTCATTTCCCGTGAAAAAAACGTTACAGAGTGTTCACCCCGCTGAAAAAAGTTAACGAGTGTTCACCCGATTGAGAATTTTTATGAACCGAAAAGTGTTTGAAACTTCACTAATTTTCATATGCCCGAAGGCTTTCCCCAGCTTCACTTACCCGAAGACGTTCCTGATTTTTACTAGGCTTGATAAGGCGGCACCCTTCCAACTGGTAGAAAAACTTCTCATGAACGAAAGCCACTTGAAAAAGTTTTTTATTTTACAGTTGTGTGAAACTTCCTGATTTTTAGTTACTCGAAGTAAAAAAATTCCCAGTTTTCACCTAGTGAAAGGTTGTTTTCACGGTGTTTAGACCCTTCACCACTTCAGGATGATTCGGGATTTTCAGATTGCCTAAACAAGTTGCTTTCAGGGTGTTCAGACCCTTTACCACTTCAGGATGGTTGGGGATTTTCCGACTGTCCAAACATGTTGTTTTCATGATGTTCAGAGCATTCACCACTTCAGGTCTGTTCGGAAATTTCGTGTTGCCTAAACAGTTGTCAAGACAGGTTGTTTTCAAGGTGTTCAAACTGTTCACCACTTCAGGATTATTCGTACATTTCGTGTTGCCTAAAAAGTTGTCAAAACAGGTTGTTTTCAGGGTGTTCAAACTGCTCACCACTTCAGGATCGTTTGAAACTTTCGTGACGAGTGGACATGTATTGAGGAAATGTCGCTCAGATGTGCTTTCAGTGGTGAAGGGTCTGAACACCTTGAAAACAACCTATCTGGGCAACTATTTAGAAAATCTGAAAATCGCGAACAATCCTGAAGTGGTAAAGGGTTTGAACCAGCGTTGTCGAGCGGGGAACCCCGGGGGCAAAGCCGGTGTTAGGCTGCGGACCCCAGGCCCCCGCCGCGGGGTTCATCCAACCCCGCCACCGCCGGACGACCCCCGCCGCCGCCCAGCCCCGGGTACCCCGCCGCCTAACCCCGCAGGCCCG